AGTTGAAAAAAGAGAACAGAGAATTCGGGATGTATCCTTTGTGCATAACAACGATTGAAAAAGAACTTGTATCCGGTGGTAGTTTAATTCAAGGCGACATTGTGCAAATAGACGAATCACTTCAAAGGTATGATTCTGGTACAGATGATACGCTTGCTCTAGATTTTGTCAATTGAGGAGAAGCAATTGGGGTGTTTGAACTGGACAAGGATTTGATAATTTCAAAAACTAATCAAAGGGAGGTTATGATTGGCCAAGTATATAAGGATAAGGCTATATTGAAAGAGGTGATGGAGAATTATGCTATATCTCAAAGATTTCAATTCCGGGTTGATAGGTCTAATTCTGTCAGGTTTGAGTGTATTTAATTTTTTTTTGTTTGTAAATTGTACTGTTGGTTGGAGTTGTAAGTTTTACGTTGATGTATTTATGTGTATCTGTGGATTTTGAGTTGATCTTCACTGATGTGTTTAACATCTGGTTGTTTATGGTCTTTAAATATATGTATTCATATGAATTTTACTGGTATAATTACATTACAGTGGCTCTAATTATTTTCCTATTATGTTTACTGTTTGTATTTAATTGTATGCCTATAACTATAATTGTATTCAGTTGTATTCATTGTATTTAATATGCATATAACTGTAATTGTATTCAGTTGTATAATAATTTATATACATAGATGTCAGGATGTATTCATGTGTATCTGAGTGCATTTTTTGGTAAACGTTTATGCTAACCATACGTATAATGATAAATTCTTTGCAGCTATGCATTATTATGTATGTCAGAAGATTGTGAATGGAGGTTTAAGGCTTCGAGCATTAACAAATCAGAATTATTCAAAGTGAGAGAGTTCATTGATAACCATACATGTCCGCTTAAGGACAAGGTGTATGAGTAGCGATAGGCAAGTAGCAGCCTTATAGGTGGTATGATTAGGCCTAAGCTTACTAATCATAAGAGGAAATATACCCCAAAGGATATTATTGATGATGTGAAATCAGATTTAGGTGTTGATGTTAGCTACATGTTGGCGTGCGGGCTAAAGAAAAGGCAATAAAATTTTTTAGAGGTGAACCGGCTGATTCATACAAAAAATTTCCAGGATACTTATATACAATGGATAAGACATATCCAAGTTCGCACATCAGAATGGTAAAATCGGCCAAAAATGAGTTCATGTATGTGTATATATCTTTGTATGCCTTTATAAAGGGGTTTGATCATTGTAGACCCATTGTGGTTGTCGATGGAAGTCACCTAAAATCTTACTACACCGGGACATTCGTCTCGGCAAGCACGTTGGATGGTGCAGGTGAATACGTGAATTATAATAGATTCTGTTAATTCTGTTAATAATTTAAAGATTGAAATACATGTTTTAAAAATATGTATTCAAATGTCTTTACAGGCCATATATTGCCACTAGCATATGATGTTATTAATTCAGAGAACGATGCTGCTTGGACGTGGTTCTTTGAGCAATTCAAGATAGCATACGGTGACAAGGAAAACATGTGCATCGTTTCAGATAGAAATGAGAGTATCATTAAATCTGTATCGAGAGTGTATCCAAATGTATCGCATTTTGCCTATATATGGCATCTATGGAACAACATATATAAGAAATTCAAAAAGAGCCATGCAAATTTGAGCGAGATATACTTCTCGATGGCAAAAGCATACACACAAGCTGAATTTGACAGTCTGATGGAGAAAGTGGAGACGGTAGATATTAGGGTGAAAGAATACTTGGAGTTAGCTGGATACGAAAAGTGGGCTAGGTTGTATGCACCTATTAACAGGGGATGGACCATGACGTCAAATATTGCTGAGTCAATCAATGCCGCACTAGTGTCAGCAAGGGAATTGCCAATATACGACTTCCTCGAAGAAGTTAGGAAGATGTTTGGACGTTAGAATTGCAGTAACCGCAATGAAGCTACACAAACATACACAACTCTTGGAAAAAAATACCAGGAGATGCTGACTTTGAATGAGGCAATGTCTACACGCATGACTGTAAGTTTCATTTTAATGTCATTGTATCATATATTAAGCTATTTCTTTATATAGCTTAATTATTTTCTAAAATAACTTATACAGAATTTTTTTAGACATACATATTCAGTTGTATTGTCATGCAATAGCGTTATGATGTTTTTTTAAATGGCATCATTATTCTTATATAACTGATGTATTTTACTGTATTCAAATGTATTTTACTGTATTCAAAAGTATTTTAAAACTTTACAGTAATTGTAACCAGCAGATGTATATCAGTACTATGTATCTAGTTGCCTCATTAGTCTTGAATAACAACATGTATTTAAATGTATTCTGATGTATTTTCTTTTCAGCTGCCTAAAGCTAAGCAGATGTTTGATGTATTTTAATTTAGATGTATTCATAAGCTAAGACGTAATTTTAGTTTATAGTCTGCCTATCTACATATATGATGTATTATTCTCTATTCTTCCCTTTCAGTTGTATTTAACTGAATAATTCAGCATTATACATAAAGAAATTCATTTGTATGTGCTCAAAACTTATAGATCTATGTTTAAATGTAGGTGGTACCATCGACTAAATACTTACATACGGTTAACGATGGAGGAAGGCATTACACCATCCGCCTGTTAGAGAGAAAATGCGTTTGTGGGAGGTTCCAAGTTGATGAATTACCATGCCCACATGCTTGGGCTGTATTGAAGAGCAAGTTTCTAATGCCAGAAGATTATTGCTCTAACTATTACAAACCAAATTCTATTTTAATGACATACGATGTGCCTGGGATCCCGCTACCGGACAGAAATGACTGGAACATACCAGCACATGTTGCAGAGGAAGTTGTATTACCACCCAAATGGAAAAGACCTCCTGGAAGGCCAAAGAAGAAGCGCGATAAACCTTTCAGTGAATTGCTGCAGCCGAAAAATCAACATTCATGTAGCATATGTGGGCAGGGAGGACATAACAAGCGAACATGTAGAAATGCTCCACGTAGGATTTAGTTAACACTCTGACATGTATTAGTGCTCCAACGATTTGTCATTACTTCTGATGACATTGTGAAGTAATAAATTTTGAAATGCCTTTCGTGAATAGATGATGGATACATTTAGTTGTAGTATAGTGTTGAATACATTCAAATACAACCTTCTCAACATCATCTTGGACAAATTATTATAGATAGTGCCTGTGTTGTATATACATAACTAATCAAAATACATCGGAATACAACTATATACTCAGCCATAATATAACAAATTCAATAAATACATATAACTTGAGTAAGTAAAATACATACATCAAGTTGAGTACATACGTAAAAACCTGAAGCATAAATTTTAGTATACCTTTCGTGAATAGATGCTGGATGCATACAGTTGTAGTATAGTGTTGAATACATTCAAATACAACCTTCTCAACATCATCTTAGATAAATTATTGTAGACATTACATAACCTGAAGCATACAGTTACTGACTTTCAATGACTTTGATAAGCCAAGCAACTGAATAGTAATACACATTTATACGCCATGTTTAATACGTATGAATATATCCTGTAAGATACATACGAGTAGAAACTGTATATTAAGCATGAATACTTATGAACAAAACAATGAAACATAGATTGAAAAGTTGCAATTGTCATACATGAACACTGTTGATCAAGTGATTAAAACATTGGTTTTTCTAACTGAATACCATCTTCTGTCAAAAAGATATTCTAAAAAATAGTATTCACCTAAAACAACATACCAAAACTACATTCACCTAGAGCTACTCTAACACTATCTGTAACTTTGGATCTGACTCAGTGATTTGCCTAGCAATCTTTGAGGGTGCTTCATTCTCACTTATGGCATCAGCGTCTATCTTCCGCATAGCATAGTCCCAGAGGAAAATACCATATCTTTGACGGAGTAGATTAGAATCAAAGGTTGTTTGTGGAATCTTACCAAGAGTGCTCAGAAACTCTGCGTATGCCGCAACATGCACCCTACAATCCCTGAAAAATGTTGATTGAAACAATTAAAAAAAATTCATACAATTAGAGTTTTAAAATGATACAAGAATGATGATTGAATACATACATGCTCCCAGCTTTTTGTTGAGGCAGATTTGATATGAAAACAACTTCAAAGGGATCATTATGTGACTTCTCAGTGTATGCTGAGTAAGTAGACCAATCTATGCCTTGACTATCTCTGTAAAAGCCACTGATTGATAGATATAGAGGTACAAGCTTAGTTAGCTTATCTATCTCAGAAGCTACATAGGCATCATGACCTGCAGATCTGTACGAGTCATACACTTTGATACATCTCTCATTGAATGAGACAGCAACCAATATCCAGTGTAGTTTGTCCTTCAAGTTGACTGGTATCAATACATTATCAACAGTATGCCAAGGTACATTAGCTAGCAATCTGTATCCCCTTATGTACTCACATACCACATCCTCTTCTTTGGCTACATTTGCATTACTATCTGTATCAGCATACCTGTCGAAGATTTCCGCGATTCTTGTCTTGAATATACAATCAACAGTTGTATACTTGAAGTTGCTTGTTTGGTTGTACTTTCCCTTCTTTCTCAGATAGTAGAATATGACGTCAATATGCTATACACAAATTTAATTACATAGTGTCAGTGCAATGAATCAAATTAAGAAAAAGAAATAGTATATGATAAGTAAAAAAATAGTTCCAGATTCAAGAATAATACATTTGAATACATTAAAATACATTTGAATTCAGTAAAATACAGCAGTTATTTAAGAATAATGCTGCCATTAAATACATCATACAGACTCAGTTAAATACATTTGTTATTTACAACTACATAGTGATGTTAAAATACATCTAAAATCCATTTAAATACATGTTATTATTCACATGTAATGAGGCAATTAAATACATAGTAATGCTATACACTGTTAGGTGCAATTAATCTGAACTTTTAAAATACAGCTGAATACAGTAAAATACAGCAGTTACTTAAGAATAATGATGCCATTAAATACATCATACATATTCAGTTAAATACGTATGTTATTTACAACTACAGAGTGATGTTAAAATACATCTAGAATCCATTTAAATACATGTTGTTATTCAGATATAATGAGGCAATTAAATACATAGTAATGCTATACATCTGTTAGTTACAATTAATATGAACTTTTAAAATACAACTGAATACAGTAAAATACATCAGTTACATCTGAGTACAATTGAATACATAAAAGTAATGTAAGATAAATTTGTGTAAGCTCAATTTGTGAATTATACAATTAGACAAACCAATACTAAAGAAGTAAATTATAGTGGAGTTGGAAGGGGTAAAACTTACGCTGTCATCCCATAGCTTTTTCCGTCAAACAATAGAAGGTAAAACCAATTTTTTGAATTGATTTGATCAACTCCAAAATCCAACGGTATATGAAGTATTGACTTGTTCTTCTTGTAATGGTCTTCCAAATTACTTCTACAAGTATGACATAAAAAAATATTATATCTATTTTTAAAAATATAAATACTTAATAGACATACCGGGAAAAAAACTCACTTCTGTTCATGTCTAGCGAGAAGACCATCACGAACCCATTTGTCGTAT